TTTGATGTTTGAAATATTTAATTTCCTACTGAGTTACAGGTACTGTCTCTTTTGTTGTTTGCCTTTCAAAGAGAGACCCCAAGTCCTTCAGAAATACATCCCTGGGTTATTAAACTGAAACAAGTTTAGGTTGTTTCCTAAAAATACCACTTCAGGCCAGGTGCGGTGGCTCACGCCTGTAATCCCAGTGTCAAACCACCAAGGCGGGTGGACCACCTGAGATCAGGAGTTCGAGACCAGCCTGACCAACATGGAGAAACCCCATCTCTTGTAAAAGTACAAGATTAGCCGGGCATGCTAGTGCATGCCTGTAATCCTAGCTACTCTGGTGGCTGAGGCAGGAGAATCATTTGAACCTGGGAGACAGAGGCTGTGGTGAGCTGAAATCGCGCCATTGCACTCCAGCACCAACAACAAGAGCAAAACTCTGTCTCAAAAAAAAAAAAAAAAAAACAAGTGAAGGAGGCCTGCCCCACCACACCTGTGGGTGTTTCTCACAAGGTGGAGATGAGAGACTGAGAAAAGAAATAAGACATGGAGACAAAGTATAGAGGAAGAAAAGTGGGCCCAGGGTACCGCGCTCAGCATACAGAGGACCCCGCCCCGGCACTGCTCTCTGAGTTCCCTCAGTATTTATTGATCACTATCTCTACTATCTCGGAGAGGGGGATGTGGCAGGACTATAGGGTAATGGTGGGGAGAGGGTCAGCAAGAAAACGTGTGAGCAAAGACTCTGTGTCATAAATAAGTTTAAGGAAAGGTGCTGTGCCTTGATGTGCACGTAGGCCAGATTTATGTTTGACTTTACACAAACATCTCAGTGCAGTAAAGAGCAGTATTGCCGCCAGCATGTCTCACCTCCAGCCATAAGGAGGTTTTCTCCTATCTCAGTAAATAGAACGTATGATCGGGTTTTACATGGAGACATTCCATTCCCAGGTACAAGCAGTTTCCTCCTATGTCAACTGCAAAGAGGCCTTTATCTTACACTAATTCTTCTCAGTACAGACTGTTTGCGGGTGTCGGGCTGGGGGACTGTAAGGTCTTTCCCTTTCCACAAGGCCATATCTCAGGCTGTCTCAGTCGGGGGGAAACCTGGACAATACCCAGGCTTTCTTGGGCAGAGGTCCCTGCGGCCTTCCGCAGTGCACTGTATCCCTGGATAACCGACAATGGAGAATGGCAATTACTTTTACCAAGAATACTGCCTGCAAACACATATTTAACAAAACACATCCTGCACAGCCCTAAATCCATTAAACCTTGAGTCAATATAGCACATGTTTCTGTGAGCACAGGGTTGGGGCTAAGGTTACAGGTTAATAGTATCTCAAAGCAGAAGAATTTTTCTTAGTACAGATCAAAGTGCAGTTTCTTATGTCTTCCTTTTTCTTTTTTTTTTTTTTTTTGAGATGGAGTCTCGCTCTGTCGCCCAGGCTGGAGTGCAGTGGTGCAATCTACTCACTGCAAGCTCCACCGCCTCCCGGGTTCATGCCATTCTCCTGCCTCAGCTTCCCAAGAAGCTGGGACTACAGGCGCCCACCACCACACCCGGCTAATTTTTTTTTTTTTTTGTATTTTTAGTAGAGACAGGGTTTCATCGTGTTTGCCAGGATGGTCTCGATCTCCTGACCTCGTGATCCACCCGCCTCGGCCTCCCAAAGTGCTGGGATTACAGGCGTGAGCCACTGCACCTGGCCATGCCTTCCTTTTTCTACATAGACATAGTAACAGTCTGATCTCTCTTTCTTTTCCCTATACAGAAGACAGAGAAAATGTATTTACAAATTTTCTAAATAAAAGTCCTAAGGAAAGAGACAAAAAAAAAGTTTTTTTAATTTTCAAAGCAAATTATACCTCTCGTTTTTTTCCTTCTTCGTTTGAGACAGGGTCTCGCTCTGTCACCCAGGCTGGAGTGTGGTGGAGAGATTAGAGCTCACTGCAACTGTGAAATCCCTGGCTCACGTGATCCTCCCACCTCAGCGCCCCAAGCAGCTGGGACAACAGGCGTGCACCACCACACCTGACGCATTTTTTGATTTTTAATAGACACGACGTCTCACTGCGTTGCCCAGGCTGATCTCGAACTCCTGGGTTCAAGTGATCCTCCCGCCTTGGCCTCTCAAATTGCTGGGATTACAGGTGTGAGCCACAGCTCCGGGCCCTGACTTTATTTCCACAAAATATGAAATTATCCTCCACCTCCTGGGTGTAATAGGCAGTTTTGCACGTCACCTTTCAGTTTCCATTATCCACTTAAACAACCCAGGACCTTGCTTAGTTTAATAAGCCGTTCTGTCAGTCCTCGCTGCAACCAGCGCCCCACTCCACCCCTTTACCGAGGTCCTTTCACCTCTCACCCGCCCTGCCCCAGACTGAGGGGAGCTCGCCCCACCTGCAGGACGCGCGACTCTACCTGCTCAAAAAAGGCGCTTTGCATTAAAACCATTTTCAATTTAAGAGGAAAAAGCATTCAGCGTTCAGTACACGTGGTCTACTACAGAAGCAGTTTTACCTTCCATTGTTTGAAATGTTAAAACGGGGAGGAAGCATCCATGTGATATTAGGGTAGCATCACCGCACAAGAGAATGAATCCACCAATCAGAACCCAGAGGATCTGGTCCTAGAGGGAGAGGATGACAGCTGGCGAAGTCCATGGCCCAGCTGAGGAGAAAGCTCCAATCCGCCTCCTCCAGGCCTGGCCCTTTATAACCACCCACCTTCCAGAGCCCTCCCCCTTGACGGCAATAACCCTCTAGCCTAGCCCGCTGTCCGGCCCGGACCGGCCCAGCACCCTGGCAACCTCCTCCTTCTTGCCTCGTCCCCAGCCTCTAACCAGGCCCCGCACCCACAGTGGCCTCCACTCTCTCGCCCCGCCCCAGCATCTGTTCAGGCCCCGCCCCCTCAGCAACATTTTCCCCTCCTGCCCTGTCCCCGCTTGGTGTCCAGAACCCTCCCAGACAGGATCCACTACCAGCCCATGGTTGTTCTGCACGGAGAGCCCAGGACTGACTCAGGTGAGCGTTTGTTTCTGTTTCAAACTTGCCTTTCGTAGCGCCCTAGCTCCCAGTCCAGCCACACCAGGAATTTGGGTGCGTAGGGATGTTTATTTCCTTCTTTGTTTGAGACGGAGTCTCGCTCTGTCGCCCAGGCTGGAGTACAGTGGCGCGATCTCGGCTCACTGCAAGCTCCGCCTCCCGGGCTCACGCCATTCTCCTGCCTCAGCCTCTTGAATAGCTGGGACTACAGGCGACCGCCGCCACGACCGGCTAATTTTTTGCATTTTTAGTAGAGAGGGGGTTTCACCGTGTTCGCCAGGATGGTCTCGATCTCCTGACCTTGGGATCCACCTGCCCCAGCCTCCCAAAGTGCTAGGATTACAGGCGTGAGTCACCGCGCCTGACTTCTTTTTTAATAAAATGTTTCACATATTATCAAACCCAGCCAACCAATGCACTCATAACAGATTCAGAGATTAAAAAATATATTCCCGATAAAACATGTCCAACTCTTCAGATAGGGATGACATTTTCAGCTTGATATGGTAACGTGACTGTGACCTTATTAGCAGTTTTTATGCGAATCCACTGGGGAATAGAACAATTTTGCTTTTGTTTCTGGCCAAGACTCACCTAATTCTGAAAGTCTTGTGAGAAGACATGGCAAGAAGCGAAATCAAGCACACACTATGATGACGGAGAGAGGAGAAGGGGCTTGACTTTTTCTTTTTTTCAGACTAAGTTTCTTTCTTTGCTCCCAGGCGGGAATGCAATGGTGCGATCTTGGCTCACTGCAACTTCCGCCTCCTGGGTTCAAGTGATTCTCTTGCCTCAGCCTCGCGAGTAGCTGGGTTTGGTCAAAATATAAACTAGAAAGGCAGGAACGTGGCCAAAGGTGGGGAACATGAGTGTTATTACCATATTCCTGCTTGACCTTTACTGCCAATGCCAACACAAATGGTCAGAGGTCTCTTATGTGAAAATCTTCATGATCTTGTGGGAAAACCCTGATTTTTGTAAAGACTGCAAAATAGGCTCAAAAATAAATAAATAAATAAAAATTTAAAAGGGCCAGTTGCAGTGACTCATGCCTGTAATTCTACCACTTTGGGAGGATGAGGCAGGTGGATCAGCTGAGGTTAGGAGTTCAAGACCAGCCTGACCAACATGGAGAAACCCCCTCTCTACTAAAAATACAAAAATTAGCCAGGCATGGTGGCAGTCACCTGTAATTCTAGCTACTCAGGAGGCTGAGGTAGAAGAATTGCTTGAACCCAAGAGGCAAAAATTGCAATGAGCTGAGATCACACCACTGCACTCCAGCCTGGGTAACAAGAGCAAGACTCCATCTCCAAACAAAAAAATAAAATAAAATAAAAAATAAATACATAAAAATACAAAAATTAGCGTGGTGTGGTGGCATGCATCACTATTCACAGATACCCAGGAGGCTGAGGCAGGAGAATTGCTTGAATGCAGGAGGAGGAGGTTCCAGTGAGCCGAGATCATGTCATTGCATTACAGCCTGGGGGATAAGAGCAAGACACCATCTCAAAAAATAAAGATAAAAATAAAAAACAGGCTGGGTAAAGTGGCTCAAGTCTATTGGCCAGGCTGGTCTCAAACTGCTGACCTCAAGTGATCTACCTGCCTTGGTCTCCCAAAGTGCTGGGATAACAGGCATGAGCCACTACGCCTGGCCCATTCTTCTTAACATTAACACTTTTTATGTCAATTAATGCTTGAACTCAATGTTAAGTCAACTCAAACTCAAGTCAAAGTTGAATTGACTCTAATGTCAATTAAAGCTTTATGATTGTTTATATTCATTTTATTTGGAGTAATTGTCTCAAAAATGAATTTTCTGATGTTCTGCATGGAATGACCACAGACTGAAGACCTTGCCACCCTTATGACGTTGGTAAGATTTCTGCCCAGTATGGATTCTCTGATGTCTACATCATGGATTCGCTGATGAACTACAAGTTATGAACGATGTCTGAAAAATTTGCCACATTTATTACATTTGTAGATCTCACTTCACTATGGATTCTCTAATGATTTGCAATGACTGTAGCATTATTGAGGACTTTGTGAGAATCATTATATTTGTAAAGTTTCCCTACACCATGGATTGCTTGGTGGTGAATAAGTGTTGACTGCCTAGTAAAGGCTTTGCCACATTCATTACACTTGTAAGGTTTCTCGCCAGTATGAACTATCTGATGTTTTGCAAGGTTTGTTTTTTGATTAAAAACCTTGCCACATTCATTACACTTGTAAGGTTTCTCTCCAGTATGAACTCTCTGATGTTGTGCAAGGCTTGTTTTTTGATTAAAAGCCTTGCCACATTCATTACACTTGTAAGGTTTCTCTCCAGTATGAACTCTCTGATGTTGTGCAAGGTGTGCTTTTTGATTAAAAACCTTCCCACATTTATTACACTTGTAAGGTTTCTCTCCAGTATGAACTCTCATATGGTTTGCAAGGTATGAATCACTCCGGAAAGCCTTGTCACAAACCTTACATTTGTATGGTTTCTCTCCAGTGTGAATTCTCCTATGTCTTTCAAGGTGTGATTTGCGACTGAAAACGCTGTCACATTCTTTACATTTGTAAGGTTTCTCTCCAGTATGAATTCTATGATGATGTGCAAGGTTTTCTCTTCTACTAAAAACCTTGCCACATTCATTACATGTGTAAGGTTTCTCTCCAGTATGAAGTGTATGATGGTATTGAAGGGATGACTTCCGACTGAAACTCCTGCCACATTTATTACACTTGTACGGTTTCTCTCCAGTATGAACTCTCTGATGTACTGCAAGGTATGAATCACTCCGGAAAACCTTGTCACAAATCTTACATTTGTATGGTTTCTCTCCAGTATGAATTCTCCTATGTCTTTCAAGGTGTGATCTGCGAATGTAAACCTTGCCACATTCTTCACATTTGTAAGCATTCTCTCCAGTATGAAGTCTATGATGGCACTGAAGGGATGTCTTCTGATGGAAGGTCTTGCCACACTCATTACACTTGTAAGGTTTCTCTCCGGTATGTGTTGCCTTATGAATTACAAGGGCTGAATGTCGACCAAAGGTCTTGCCACACTCATTACACTTGTAAGGTTTCTCTCCAGTATGAAGTCTACGATGGCATCTAAAGGATGACTTCTGACTGAACGTCTTGCCACACTCATTATACTTGTAAGGTTTCTCTCCAGTATGAAGTCTATGATGGCATACAAGGGATAACATCTGAGTGAAGGTCTTCTCACACTCATTACACTTGTAAATTTTCTCACCAGTGTGACATTTACGATGACATGCAAGGTATTGCTTCTGATTAAAAACCTTGCCACAGACATCACATTTACATTGTTTCTCTCTTGAATGGGTTATGTGATGTCTCCTTAAGAGTGAGCTATAATTAAAAGCTTTGCCACACCCATTATTTTGGCAAGGTTTTTCTCTCACGCATGTTTCCTGTATCTGTGTGGATAATGAGGAATGGAGGAAATTCTTCCCATACTTATTAGAAATATGAGTTTTGAGCCTACCAGAAATTCTCTGGGATGTTGAAGCTGAGGAAGCACCACTGACAGACTTGTCCACTTGGTTACTAATTTTCCCTTGTGTCTGAAATATGCACAGTTCAGGCAGATGCGAATGAAAGCTTGATCCAAGCTGATCTTTAATAGGCTTGTTTCCAGCATGCCTTTGAGTATGTTGGTCTGTACTACCTGTCAACTCTTTATTTTCTGTCACAGGTGCTTCATGGCCATTTCTTTCAACTTCTTGCCACTGAAACTCAAAGTGATGAATATCTTTCTTGATTTCTGGGAAGCAAAAATCTCCAATGTGATAACTTTTATGTCTTTCCAATGTCCCTGTGTAGAACCCTTCTCCTGTATTACTGTGCTCATGTGATGAGAACTCCATCATGGATTTTAAAGAGCTATCTAAAAAATATAAAGACCAATAGTTTTCCAAATAAGTACAGATGGTAAATAATAGTTAATATTGAAATGTGTAAAAATTACACAAAAAGCAATACTTATTTTAAACTTCCCAAATGTGATCTTCAAAGTTTAAGAACACCTTGTCTCTACTGAACATACAAAAATTAGTCAGGTGTGGTGGTGGGTGCCTGTAATCCCAGCTACTCAGGAGGCTGAGGCAGCAGAATTGCTTGAACCCAGGAGGCAGAGGTTGCAGCGTGTGGAGACCACGACATTGCACTCCAGCCTGGGCAACAAGAGCAAGATTCTGTATAGAATAATAAAAAAAAAAGAGTTCAGTCAAGAGCCTCATATATATGAGGCAGTAAGCCTGAATTATTTCCTCGCTAGGAGGAATTTCTACAGCAGTGACTGCTACTTACAGAAGATGACCATTAGTTTATGTGATGAACACTGTCACAGTGCCAGTGAGAGACGCTTCTGTGATGGTTCTCAAAAACCAGAACAAAAGGCCAAGTGTGGTGGCTCACGCCTGTAATCCCAACACTTCGAAGCTGAGGTGAGCGAATTGCTTGAGGCCAGCAATTCAAGACCAGCCTGATCAACATGGTGATACCCTATGTCTAATAAAAATACAAAAATCATCCAGGTATGAAGGCATGTGCCTGTAATTCCAGTTAGGTTGAGAGGCTGAGGTACAAGAATTGCTTGAACTCAGGAGGCAGAGGTTGCAATAAGCTGAGATCAGACTCTACACTCCAGCCTGTTCAACAGAGGGAGACTGTCTGAAAACAGACAAAGAAAAAGAAAACAAAACCAGAACCACAGCTGGAAACACCTGTCAATCAGTGTCAGTGTCATGCTTTCAATCTCGTATCCTGGGCCATGCTGACAATTCTGCTCAGGGCTTCCAGGGACATCTCTGCCTAGAGCAGGATGATGTTCAATTGTATTAGTCAAAGTGCTCACGAATTTTCTGTTTTTATGTAAAACCACTCCACAGGACAGTCTCTAAGAAGCTATCCATGACAGATAGGAGGGTCATCACTGCAGAAAACAATGACATGTACATCAAAAGCATGTATCACAAAATCTCAAAAGAGCATATAAAACCAGAAAGAGCCAAGATAGACAAGAGCAGATTCCTCACGTCTGAAGGGACATTTTCCTCACCCACAAACTCCAGGTTCCTGTAGTTCTCCAACATCACTTCCCTGTATAAAGCCCTCTGCGCAGGGTTCAGGCATTTCCACTCCATGAAAGAGAATTCTATAGCCACATCCCTGAAAGTCAAGCATCCCTAAAATAAAAAACACATTTCAACAAAACATTGTGAAGGAGTATGTTATCGCCCTCACGTGAAATGAGAAAAGAGAAAATAAGTATTGATTTGATCCAAGACTGTGTTCTGACAAATTCACATTAAGGTATTTTTGAACAATTTTTCTGTATAGTTGCATTTTACTGTACTTTTTCAGGAGAGCTTTTAAAATCCCTTAAGTCACTATGGAAGTCTCAGTTTTACGGACAATATAAAAAAATATATGGCCTGGCACGGTGGCCCATGCCTAAAATCCCAGCACTTTGGGAGACTGAGGCAGGTGGATTGCCTGAGCTGAGAAGTTCAAGACCACCCAGGACAACATGGCGAAACACTGTTTCTACTAAAAAAAAAAAAAAAAAAAAAAAAAAACAGGTGTGGTGGTGCAGTCCTCTAGTCCCAGCTACTTGGGAGGCTGATGCAGGAGAATAACTTGAGAACAAGAGGTGAAGTTTGCAGTGAGCCAAGATTGTGCCATTGCACTCCCAGCTTGGGCTGCAGAGTAAGACTCCATCTCAAACAATATATATATCTATATATAATATAGATATTTTATATATAGATATTTTATATATATCTATATTCTAATATAGATATTTTATATATATTATATATGTATTTCTATACAAATATATAATATTAAATATATTATTAAATAAATATATATTATACATATTATATATACACACATATATAAAATAAGTCTAGGCATGGTGGCTCACACCTGCAATCCCATCAGTTTGGGAGACCGAGGTGAGTGGACCACTTAAGGTCAGGAGTTTGAGACTAACCTCTCCAACATGGCAAAACTCCGTATCTACTAAAAATAAAAAAATTGGCTGGGCATCGTAGGGAGGTGCCAGTAATCCCAGCTATCTAGGAAGCTGAAGCAGGAGAATCGCTTGAACTCTGGAGACAGAGATTGCAGTAAGCCAAGATCACACCACTGCAATCCTGCCTGGGCAACAGACTGAGACCCTTTCCCAAAAAAAAAAAAAAGTGTGTGTGTATATATATATATATAAATTATGTATTATCTACATAAACTGTGGGATTGGCTGTACACAGTAGGTCACACCTGTAATCCCAGCACTTTGGGAGGCTGAGGTGGGTGGATAACCTAAGGTCGGGAGTTTGATACCAGCCTGAAGAATATGGACAAATTCTGTCTCTAGTAAAAATACAAAGTTAGCTGGGAATGGTGGCGCATGCCTATAATCCCAGCTACTTGGGAGTCTGTGGCAGGAAAATCACTTGAACCTGGGAGGCGGAAGTTGCAGTGAGCCGATACTGTGCCACTGCATACCAGCCTGGGCCACAAGAATGAAACTCCATCTCAAAAAAACCACAAACAACAATAACAAAAAGAAATGAAACAAAACTGTCAAGGACTCACATGTCTTCATTCAGAGAAAGCTCCAAGGATGATTTAAAAGAGCAAGCTATCTTGTTTTCTACCTTGGAAACATGAACATTTTCAGAACTTGCAGGATAAAATACCATAACAAAACATTCATCAGGCCGGGAGCAGGGCTCATACCTGAAATCCCAGAACTTTGGGAGGCCGAGGCAGAAGGATCACTTGAGGCCAAGAGTTCGAGACCAGCCTGGTCAACATGGTGAAACCTCATCTGTACTAATAACACAACAATTAGCCAGGAGTGTAGCACGCATCTGTAACTGCAGCTACTCAGTTGGTTAAAGCATAAGAGCTCATTTTGACCTGAGAGTCACAGAGGTTCGCCAATGTCCTCAGCACTATATGCAGGTGCAGAGTGACGGCCCTGTCTCAAACAAACATGCAAAAAACAAAAAAAACCCCATTAATCAAATAATTTTTTCTAGAATCCTCATAACGGTGGTATGAATACATTTCTAAAGGTTTGTGCTAACTTGCCACAGAACCCCTCGAACAGTGATCGTCTCCACTGAGAACATGCGGAATGGAGGTGGACAGGCTGGACTGGCAAAGGGGCTATGCATAAGTGTTATTTTTCTTGAACTTCTACTCACACAATCAACATTATACATCCAATGTGGGTGTTCTAAAATAAAAGAATCAGCCCAGGCGGGTCTGGCTCAAGACCTGTAATCCACGGAACTTTGGGAAGGACCGAGACGGGTGGATCACGAGTCAGGAGAATTGAGACCATCCGTGGCTAACAAGTGAAACCCCGGTCTCTACTAAAAAAATACAAAAAAACTCTAAGCCATGGCGAAGGCTGGCGGCGCGCCTGCTAGTCCCAGCTACTTGGAGGCTGAGGCAGAGAAAGGCGTAAATCTCTGGGAAGTGGAGCTTGCAGTGAGCTGAGATTCGGCCACTGCACTCCCAGCCTGGGCGACAGAGCCAGGACTCCGTCTCAAAAATAAATAAAAAAATAAATAAAATAAAAGAATCATTTAATAATAATGGGTAGAAAAAGAATGACTCAATCCTCTCTATGAAATAAGTTGTGCTGTTTATGTCACAGCAAACTTATAATCATTTTTACCCAAAATGCTTGCTTCATCAGAGTCCCTGTTTAAAAAAAAAAAAAAAAAAAAAGGCTCTGTGGGGTCAAAGTGCTGGAGAATGATTTAAAGAATTCCCTGCAGTTAGATATTTATATTGATCAATAATTTGGAAGTCAATGATGGAATAAAGCTAACTCTATCACTGATATCTATATCAGCTTTCCATTCTTATTCCACAAGACATTGAAGTGCAGAGTCTTGCTGGGCTGTCTCACACCTGCAATCCCAGCAATTTGGGGAGGCTCAGGTGGGAAGACCACTTGAAGCCCAGGAGTTCGAGCGCTGCTGTAAACTAGAATTGTGCCCATTGCCATCCAGACTAGGCCCCAGAGTGACACCCTCTCTCTTAAAACAAAAGTTTTGGTCAGAGACATATGGACTCACTAGTGTGAGCTTCAAATGCATTACAAAATCAGACACAAAATATCTCCCCTAGTTTGCCTCCTTTTCCAGAATTCTACCAGA